GGCGGTGGTGGTGGACGACGATGGTGATGGACGGTGACGGTGATGGTGGATGGTGGTAGTGGTGGACGGTGGCGGTGGACGGTTGTGGTGGTGAAGAGAAGTAGAAAAAAAGGAGAAGATGTTAGAAGATGTTAGAAGACATTGGTTAATGTCTTCTCCAAGAAGATGTCAGGAAGACCTTTTTGAGTGAAATGTCTTCCAAAAAACAAACAATCTGCAGAGCCCATCATCTGCGCGCGTCTGCGCGGCGCAGACAAAAGATGCCAGAAGGTCTTCTGGCAGAAAAACAAACACCCCCTTAATTAATGCCTAACGATCCAAAATATTTTCTTATTAAGTCACTATTTACTCCGTATTTATCAACACCAAGAAATGTATGGTAAGGAAAAAAATGGTGTGTAAATTGGTTTACAATTTGGTATGCATGTAGCATTCTAAAATTCGAACTATATATTGCTATCGTAGACTCGTTTATTTGGGAATAGCGTTTTAGATTAACATAAGCTTTTTTGGATAAAACTTTAACGATGCAAATTAACTTTAAAAACGCTAACTCAACAATTCTGAGGCCGGATCTTCAAAGAAAAGATCCTCCATCGAGGTTGAGTCCGATGAGACTATTGGCTCTTCGGAACAAAGATCTCCCTTCAACCTCGACAACTCCGACGACAAGGACCCGTTTAAAATTTTATTCTTCCACATTTTACATATTATTTCTTTCCTTCTTAAAAATGCATCCAAACAAGGGTATGTGTGCAAGGAAACAACGGTTTTTTTTCTTTTGGGAGGACAATATTAATGAAAGAACTAGTATTTCTACCCGTGTCATGCACGGGTTCGGACAGAATTTTTTTCGATTCTATAATGTTGATCTTGATTTAAATTTGACATATTATTTAAAGGTCAAATATAAATTATCTATGTTTGATGTATTTTTACAAATTTATAATTTTTATCGCAGTATAAATTCGAAAATATATTAATACAAAAGTATTAGTAATCCCATGATTTTTTTTCCTCACATTAATTTAAAAAACCTAAATTACCGACCTTATAATTATATACTTCCTCTGTCCCTGAGTATTTGACAACTTTTGACTTTTTTGTCAAAATTGATAAATTTTGACTTCAAATTAAATAAAAATGATATTAGATATTGATACAAAATTAGTTTTATTAGATTTTTTATATCATCCATTTTCAAAATATTTTTTATATACATAATATATAATATATATTTTATTTAATTCTAAGTCAAATATTGAAAACAATTAGTCGGAAAAGTCAAAACTGGACAAATACTCAGGGACGGAGGTAGTAATTAAAAAATAGGATTCTTCTCATCCATAATCCTTATCTACCCCCCCCACCCACCCCCACAATGATTATAAAAAGTTATTATTCATTCTTGCATTATTAAAAAAGAAAATCTTAAATTAGTGATCGTAAATCTCTATGATTAAAAACTTAATTTTAAAATATTAAGAATCAATTATTCTTCTCCCCCACATTTATTTTAAAAAACATTAAAATATTAGTGCTCTAATAATTTTGTCGGGATAGTATTCTGGTCAAGATATAAAATGTTCTATCAAAATACAAATATTTACAAATCAGAAATTGTATTTTTTGATGTGGTTGTAACCTGTAACTAAGTCTCGAACTTATTACCTACTGCACTTTGGATTTTCTGCACAATTTTTCCTAATTTTTTGATTATCCTAAATCTTCATTATCACAAATCTTCTCACGCTCCCCTCCACACCTTGATCTTCTTTGTCACAATCTTCTTTGTGTAAATTTGTGCCGTCTCATAAAATATCATCTTATGAAGTTTCCATGTACGGTTGCGTAAATGAAAACGTAGGAAGTAAGTTCTCTCTCATTCAAAATTTCTTAATTTTATTTATAAACATTTTAAATTGTAACACAATATAAGTATGTACTGAGTAAATTGTAAGTTATAATATAAGATTATTTTAATTAAAAATAGTAAACCAAGTTACCAAGATAAAGTATAAAAGTCCTATTAAATCTTTTTTTCTAATTTGTTTATTTTAAAAATTCAATATTTTAAAATAGTCAAATTGCATGGAAATACTTTTATTTCATATCACAATTAGTCATCTTGCCATAAACAAAACTTCTATATAAGATATGCATTGAGTCAATCTCATAGTAGACATATTATCCATTTGTCTAAAAATAAAGTACATAATCATGACACGTATAATTATTTATTAAAAAATATAGTCTTAAGTCTTTTAGTCACCTAATTATAAATTATAAATTTCTTTGTGTAATCTCGAAATAGTCTCTTTGAATAATGTATTTTCCAAATCAGTGTTTTTAAGCATTAATTATCTAGGAGTACTTTATAGTTGAGATTTATTCACTCAGTGTCTTCCGTATATGTTTCTTAAATGAATGTTCACTTAGAGTAATTTTTCAAAATGACCCTTTCGGATTAGCCTTTTGCTAATTTAGGTCTCCGTTATAATAAATATAATTTTATCTCAATTGTACATTTAGGGGCATCTTAATGTGTTGTGTCCTTCTATTAGCCACTCATGTTTAAGCTAGTAAATTTCAAATTTCAAATGAAAAATACGTGATTCCCTTTTTTTTGCTAATATTTTTTTGTGTTTTTTTTAAAAAGTGCTTGTTGTGACTTCAATGAAGTCAAAAGTGAAATACCTATGATTATTTTTAAATGTTTTTGTAATTTTTCTTTGTGAAAACCCTTGTAACAATATTTGTTTTGCTCTTTGAAACTAAATTCATATCAAGTGAAAAAAATTTCGGTATGTAAAATATATGTGATTATTTTTATGTGAGAATTTTTTAAAAATTTATGTGAAAAATGTAACTATTATTTTAGAAGTTGATTTTAAAAATTTATACTATTATTTTAATTATTTTAGAAGTTGATTTTTAAATTTTTTTTAAAAAAGAATTTTAGTTCTCACTCAATTGCATAAAACTTCATGTATTGTTCTAATTTCTTTTACAATACTTCCTTTGTGTTTGGATTTGATCTTCTCAATTGACTTTTCTTGTCAATTTTGTATACTTAAACACCAATATACAGAACAAACTTTGTCTTTCGGTAGAAATACATTACAAATATCTTCTTTTTGAAACCAGGAAATCTCTTAATATTTGGTGACTCTTATTTTGGAGAAAAAAATGCATTTTTATTACAATATTTTCTCCATGTTTATTCTTATTCTGATACAGAGTAATTTTTTCCAAAAAATTATAGCAACACTGTACATAAGACATATACTCCGTATACAACTTAAATTGGATCTACTCATATTTTGATTAAAATTGCCACGTCATTCAATCGTTAATAGGTGACCGATGATCTGTTAAAATGTTGCCATGTAGATTCGTCATTTCTCGCAATTCTAGGAGATTAACTCTCAAATTTAATATGTAAAGATTCAGAAATATTTACCAAACTTTTAATTTCATGTTTTCCACATCAAAATCTATGTGACATATTAGGTGTTAAAAAGAGGCTCATGAGTAAGCCACATGTCAGTTCTTAATTACCCAAGTCTCATTTTTATACATTTAGGAAAAGATAAAAAAATTGCATATTTTTCTTAATTTTTTTATGTTCATTATATTTATATATTTGGTTAATTTAAACATATTCTGTTTGTATGAGAATAATATTAAAATATAAACTAATCATTATTAAAATTGTACATTTTTCCTAAAAAAATTACTTTTTTAAATCTGCACTAAGTTAAAATTTATACTGAAAAAATATATTTTAAATTAACTAATCATCTATTTGTGTTCAACTTTTTCTTCTTTCTAAAAAATATTGTCAAACTCGACAATGAATATTTTGATCTAGTTTTTAAATATTATATTAAATGTATGTGAAATTAATATATATGTGAAGTGTGTATATTATCTACCATTATAAGTTACGTTGTAAATGAAAAGAAAATTTTATTCGTTTTAAGTTTAGTAGTCAATATAATTTTTGAAGAAATATGATACTCCCTCCGTTCCACAAAACACTTCCGGTTTTGACTTTAGGGAAAAATGAGGAAAGTGTAATTTTGGTTGACTTTTCGATTTTGCCCCTGATGTGATGAGAAAAAGTAAGATGAGATAGTTTGGTTATTAGTGATAAAGTATGATGTGATAGATAGGATATGAAAAAATAGGGGTAAAAGTGGTTTTTTAATAGAAAGTGGAAATGTTTTGTGGAAAGCAAAAAAAACGAAAGAGGAAGGATTTTATGGAACGGATGGAGTTTTTTTTATATTAAATAAAGTTATTATAATAATAATTAGATCAAAATTTTATTATTAAATGTTAAAAGTTCTCATTTTTAATTTGTTTTAGTTTGTTTTGATTTATTTTTGTTTTCTATAAAAATGATTTAATATCCTTTTTATTCAATTGACTAATTTTTAAGCTTAATTGGAGTCCGAGCAAAATATTATGGTAAAAATTTTACTGAAAATTTTGTTTGTGAAAAAAGAAACTTTTCTTTTTTCCATTAATAATTTTTATTTTATGCATTACTATATTTATGTTTCACTAATTTTATTATGTTACATAATTTCTTTTATTATATCATAAATTAGTCGAAGTTAAGTTTGATTCAATTCTCTTGATGACATGGCTGATTGGGTGTCAAAAAATATTCCAGTCATCACGCCAAATGTCGCAATTTTGAGAGTTCAACTCTCAAATATTATATATAAAGGATTGAAAGAAAAAAAGTTGTTCAAGCAAAATGGAGAAATTAATGCAGTGACCGGGCAAGAGTGTACCCCAAATATCTCCCACCCCCTCCATAACCACAAAAAAGGGAATGTAAAATTCAAAAAAAAAGTATAAAATAAAGGCAAAGAATGCTGTAGAGACAAGTGATGTGCATTTGGGTACACCTTTGGTGTACCTCTAGCATCCCCTTTTGCTAAATGTGACTATTTTCTTCCCATGTCACCTTTTTCTTTTGGGCTAAGTCATTAAAGTCTTAGTTGGGTATAATTTAAAAAAGTTTAAAACTTATCTTTTAAGGTAGGTGTGAAAATATTTAACTGTAATGCTAGGATTTTTTATATGTTTCACTATAATATTAATTATTATTTTAAGGAAAATATTTTATGCAATTTCCTTTTTAGGGCCTACTTTTTCGTCTCGTCCAGCGCCATATCAGGGCCGGCCCTGCCGTGAGAATGTGAGATAATGTTGTTCCTATACTCCATTTTATAAATTATCCTTAAAAAAAATAATACGGAGTATTAAATAAAATTATATTGCACAAATAAAATATAGTTTTAGACAAACATTATAAATTTAGAATGTACTACGTATATTAAACCATGTGAACGGAAACATTAGGTTAACCTTAGACACTTAGTTAAGAGTTTAAGCCATAACATAAAGAACCGGCTCTAAGTGTTTGACTTTGCAAATCAATTTTTCATTCAACTGAGAATCATTTTTTATGCACAATATGTATCGAAACATTCGTCTCATTTTGGAGATTAATTATTGTACATAATTATTTTAGAAAAATAATTTTAAAGATCCTACCAAATTTAAGTCAGAATTTAGCCCATTACAAGTCAAAATTCCAACATATGCAAGTTTGTATTATATTATTATATTATTAATGCATATTTAATGTTGTAAGTTATAAAAGTAAAAATGTACCAAACGTTATCAAACGCAATTCCAGTTTCTTCCAATGCTATGGCTTAAACTCTTAATTTTCAGTTTCTTCTAGTTTCTGATTAAGTTTTGTTTTGAATGAAAAATAACTTGACACAAATCCAAAATTTAAAATTTTTAAATTTTCTAAACATGAAATTTGAGCCAAATCCAAATTTAAAACCTAAATATATGTTCCTAAACATACCATAAAATTATTTAACAGTGAACTTTGGCATCTTTTTTTGAACAATGGAATACTTTTTTTATTTATCCAACATACACTAAAATGGAAACCAATTGAGACAAAAAGTCACACAAAGCAAATAAGAAAGAAAGAAAATGGAGTAACCGTTGGGAGGACAATAATGAAAGAATTGAAAGAGGAAAAAGTTGATCAAACAAGATGGAGAATTTAACGCATTGACAGGGCAAGTAAATGCCTCTTTGCTAAATGTGACTATTTTTTCCATTGTCAACTTTATCTGCTGCCTCCTGTGTCCCTTCCTATTTTGTGCCAAGTCATTAAAGTCTAAGTTGGGTAAAGGAAAAAAAATGGTTGGGCTAAGTTATTAAAGTGTAAATTGGGTAAAAGAAAGAAATGATAATTCTTGTGTAGTATTTGTCCAATTTCAATTTTTTTCAATCAGTAAGTTTTTAATTTTTATTTATAATTACATAAAATATATATTATATGTTTATTAGATAAAATAATATTATAAATATATTTGATATAATAAATCTAATAAAACTATTTTTATATCATTATTTAATATTTTAGTGTATCATTTTTATTTAATTTAGTGTCAAAGTTTATTAAATTTGATAGAAAAAAGTCATTAGTATAACTCGACAACTATTTTGGAGACGAGAGTAATGAATTGACTGTAGAAGAAAATCAAGATATCTTTTTTTAGGTCAAACTTTTTCCATGTGCCCCATTACCAATAAAATTTAGGAGTAAAATTCTACAGCCTTCAATTAAACAACGAGTAATTTTTTTTAATAAAAAATTAATGGTCATTGTTTTAATTTTTACTATTGATTAGAATGGAGGACAAGAGAGTATCAGTGAATCCCATGAGAGAGATTAGATATAGAGCCCCAAGACGTGTTTGGGAACAAAAACTTAATCAGACAATAATTGAGGAATGAGGAGATCAATTAAGAACACAACAGCTCAATAATATTCATTAATAAGTAGTTAAGGACACATTGCTAATTACACATTATTCACATCAACTAATTTAACTCTTTTATTTAAGTTGATGTTGTCTCCTCGGCTCCACGGGGCGTTCAATAAAAGGGCTGTTTCGCGGGGTCTATGCGATGAACATTGGTCGCTCGATCAAAAAACCAATCGACGAACGCACTCTCGAAAGACTGACTTTCGCCCCGGAAACATTGGCCCTTTGTAGCCCTACGATGTTCCGAGACTATGCATGTTAAGAGCACCCAGAGAGTTATATCCCTTCGCCGGCCGTGAGGACGGTTGACGCCGAAGAGAAAGAGAGACCAGGCAACTAGGGTTTTGGGAAGACTAAAATTTACTAACTAAATTACTTTTTCATTCATGCATGTGTGAATAACCCAAATACACGAGTATAAATAGCGAATGAAAAGTAACCCTAATCCTGTCGGTTCAAGAAAAGCATCGAGGTAAAGAACCGAAAAGAAACCCTCGAAGGAGCTTATAATTCGCTCACCTAAAAAAAATCTAAAATACAATAATAAAGAAGTATATTAAAAAATCAAACGTAATCCCGAAGTCGGGCCGGTGGTCTAGGCACGCGGCCCGAACGTCGTAGTTCCTGTCGTGTTGTTGGGCTCCCCGTACGCTCCACTAACTCGCCCCCCTGTTGGGCCGTATCATCTGCCTCGCCGACCAAAGCATCCTTGTCCTCAAGGACCAAATCCGGATACTGGGTTTTCAAATAGTCAACGGGTTCCCACGTGGCGTCGACGAGACTACCATCGGACCAGACGACGAGCCATTGCTCCTGTAAGGCACCCTGGACCAAGACCTTGCGTGTATCGACTGCTCGTTGAGGGACTGACAGAGGCGCCCCTTCGTGAAACTCAGATGGCAGCGTAGAGATCGATGGGGTGGAGCTGTCCGAGATGTATGGCCGTAATAGAGAGACATGGAAGACGTTGTGGATTTTTGAACCGTCCGGGAGCTGTAATTTGTACGCCACCTCCCGACTCGCTCAACCACAGGGAATGGCCCGTAATATCGCCTGGCCAACTTGGCCGACCGAGGTTTGGCCACCGAAAACTGCCGGTGCGGTTGTAACCGGAGAAGCACCAGATCACCGACTTGAAATTCTACATGACGGCGATGTCGATTAGCGCTGGCAGCCATCTGTTGCTGCATGCTTCTCAAATTGTGCTTGAGGTGGCGTAGGATCTCCCCCCTTTCTTGCAAATAAGAGTCCACCGCCTGCACCTTGCTCGTTCCCACCGTGTACGGCACTAAACTCGGGGGTTCACGACCATAAAGTGCCCGGAAAGGCGTCATCTTGATGCCTTCATGGTACGTAGCATTGAGGGCTAACTCCGCCCAAGGTAAAAAGGAAACCCATCGTGTTGGCCGGTAATGACAAAAAGCCCTCAAATATTGTTCCAGTCCCCGATTGCGTACCTCCGATTGGCCGTCAGTCTGCGGATGATAGGCAGTGCTACGCTTGAGGGTGGTACCGCTTAAGGTGAACAATGAATCCCAGAAGTGGCTCATGAAGATAGGGTCCCGGTCGGACACAATAGACTGGGGAAATCCGTGATGCTTGATGATGACGTCCACAAATAAAGCGGCCACTTTCGGAGCATCAAAAGAGGTTGGAAGCGCGCCGAAATGGGCATACTTAGTTAACCGATCCACCACTACCATAATGGCAGTGCAACCCCTGGAAACTGGTAACGCGACAATGAAATCCATGGTGACGTCTTCCCACACCCGGGCGGGGACCGGTAACGGTTGGAGCAGACCCGCGGGCCGTTGTGTGAGGTATTTGGTGGCTTGACACGTTGAGCAGGCCTCCACAAATGCCCGAACATCCCTGCGCATATGCGGCCAGAAGAAAACCCCTGCCACCCTACGAAATGTGCGCTCAACCCCCGGGTGTCCCGCGCTCGGTGAGGCATGAAACTCCGTCAAGATAGGGGATTTAAGAGCTGAATTCTTCCCAAGGCAGATGCGATGGTGGTAGTAAAGGACCCCATCATGAATAATATAAGGCGCCGGCAGAGTTCCCGTGGATGCAGCTGCATGTAATTCAACGAGGTCAGGGTCTGTGTCATTCTCTGTGCAAATCTGGTGGAGAATAGTGGGCAGCGGCTGGGCATAGTGCTGGAATAAGACAGCAGGATCCTCATCGTTGTCCCTACGGGACAATGCGTCCGCGGCTCGGTTCGTGGCACCTCGCTTGTATTCAATGCGGAATTTGAAACCCATAAGCTTGCGAATATAAAATTGTTGCTCCGGTGTTTGAACTATCTGAAATAATAACTCTTTAAGACTCTTCTGATCGGTGCGAATGACGAACTCCCGGCCTAGCAAATATTGGCGCCATTTGTGCACCGCCTCCACGATAGCATATAATTCTTTATGGTATGTCGATGTTAAACGTCGACGAGGACCGAACTTCTTGCTATAAAAGGCAATCGGATGGCCCTGTTGCATGAGGACCGCACCTACCCCCTCACTGGATGCATCTGTTTCGAGGACAAAAACCTCGTGAAAATCGGGCAAGCGCAATACGGGAGGAGAAATCATGACAGCCTTAAGATTTTGGAATGCCTTATCTGCGTCGGGCGTCCACACAAAGCTGTTTTTCTGTAACAAAGAGGTTAATGGGGCTGTGATCATAGCATATGAACGGATCAATCGCCTGTAGTACCCCGTTAACCCCAAAAACCCGCGTAAGCTCTTGACGGTCCTGGGAACTGGCCACTGCGCCATAGCTTCCAGCTTGGATGGATCAGCCCGTAACTCACCATTAGCGACCAGATGCCCCAAATATGCGACCGTGTCGCGGCAAAACGTGCACTTCTCCAGTTTGACAAAGAAGTGGTGGGTGGCCAGAATGTCCAAGGTGACCCAGAGATGTGACCCGTGTAACTCGACCGAAGGGCTATAAATGAGAATGTCGTCGAAGAAAACAATCACGAATCGTCGGAGGTAAGAAGCAAAAATATGATTCATGGCCGCCTGGAAAGTAGATGGGGCATTTGTTAACCCAAAAGGCATGACTAGAAATTCAAAATGGCCATCGTGGGTACGGAATGCGGTCTTGTGGATGTCGTCGGTGTGCATCCGAATCTGATGATAACCCGAACGGAGGTCGAGTTTAGTAAACACACGAGCATGGCCGAGTTCATCAAAAAGTTCGTCCGTCGTAGGAATAGGGAACTTGTCCGCCACAGTGAGGGCATTAAGAGCCCGATAATCAACACAAAAGCGGAATGACCCGTCCTTCTTTTTAACTAGCAAAACAGGTGACGAGAAAGGACTCCGACTATGTTGGATGAGACCCTGCGTCAACATATCCTGAACTTGCTTCTCAATTTCGGCCTTCTGATAATAAGGGTAGCGGTACGGTCTAACATTAACAGGTTTGCCCCCCAGTATGATGTGAATTCGGTGATCCCACGGACGTGGGGGAGGGATACCAACGGGTTGCTGGAAGATTGAACGATGGCCCTCAAGAATTGCCCGAATGGGGCCGGAATGTCCGCTGGAAACTCCCCGGCAGTAGGCCGATCTTGGTCTGCCGAAAGTGCCTGAAACTCCAGTTCAAACCCGGAAACAAGTTCCTCCGAATGGATCAGTGCTTGCATGGCATTGTAGGATATACGGCGGTTGGCCGGGCCATCCCCCCGAAATGTAATTATACGATCTCCTGCCCGGAATTCCATTGTAAGTGCTCCGTAATCGTGACCGATTTTCCCCAAGCCTTGCAACCATTGAATACCCAAAACAATATCCGGGCCGTGAATTTGTAACACGTAGAGATCCACGGAGAACGAATAACTCTGAATTTCCAACCCAACTGATTCGCACATAAGTCGACACGGGAGAGATTCACCGTTTCCGACGTAAACCCGAAAAGGGGTCACCGGGGCTGTGTTTAGAGAGAGGCGTTCGACCACCGATGGTTGAATAAAACTGTGCGTACTCCCCCCGTCGATTAAGATTTGCACTGGATTCCCGGTGATGGTGCCCACGACCTTGAGAGCGCGCGGACTGATGGAGCCCGAGAGTGTGTTGATACTGGACACATCTCCACTCAAGAATATCTCATCCTCTTCCTCTGGACCAGCGGACTCCTCTGGTGCGTCAGTGGTTGAATCCAATAGGGAAAGAAATCGATGCGCGCACTTGTGGCCGGGGACATATTTCTCGTCACAGTTCCAACACAACCCTTTCGCCGTGCGATCAGCACGTTCTGCTGCTGAAAAACGGCGTACTGGGATCGTAGAATTTGGCGCGGAAGAGACGCCCAGGTTGGTTTTGGCCGTGGTGTCGTGGCCCCTGGTAGATACAGCTCCGGATGTAGACGCGCCTGGGGAGTTCCATGCGCGCTTAGAAGGACCCGAGAGGGCTGCCAAAGTGTCTGTGTAGTTTGCCGCGAGCTCCCTGGCCAAGGCAAACGTCTGTCCCAAGGTTACAGGCCGACGCAGAAGAACCTCCCGCCGAGTGGGTTGCCGCAAACCCGCCACATAGATGGAGACCAACGTGGCCTCCGGGACTCCAGTAATTTTATTTAATAGACGTTCGAACTCAGCTTGATAGTCAATCACGGACGTGCGCTGCTGCAACTTACACAAAAGCCCCATATAATCCTCGTAGTGTGAAGGATCAAACCGTTGTTTCACAGCCTCTAGGAAAGCCGGCCACATCGTAATGCAATTGTTGTTATATTGATAGAGAAACCAGTCGGACGCCGGGCTTTCAAAGAGAAGACCCACCAGGCGAAGACGCACATCTTCCGGGGTCCGAAAATAATCAAAATAGGATTGTACCTTGAACACCCACCCTGCGGGATCAGAGCCGTTAAACTTCGGAGCATCAAAACGGACTTTCGGTGTTAGGGCATCGTGTGCACCCTCTGGCGGGAATCCTGGAGGATGCCGCCGAGGACCTGTTGGGGGGATGTGAAACCCACCCCGAGGCGTAGGAGGGTTAAACCCTCGGGGTTCAAAGAGAGCATCGACGCGTTGTGCAAGCGCCTGATGATCCTGCCGAGAGGTACGAATTTCCAAAGCGAGGTTTTGAATCGCGAGCCGCATGTCGTCCAGAGCTTGATTGACATGCGATGGAGAGGAAGGGGAATCGTCGCCAGACATCCTTGAGTTCGAAAGAATGAAAGCACCAATTGTTAAGAGCACCCAGAGAGTTATTTCCCTTCGCCGGCCGTGAGGACGGTTGACGCCGAAGAGAAAGAGAGACCAGGCAACTAGGGTTTTGGGAAGACTAAAATTTACTAACTAAATTACTTTTTCATTCATGCATGCGTGAATAACCCAAATACACGAGTATAAATAGCGAATGAAAAGTAACCATAATCCTGTCGGTTCAAGAAAAGCATCGAGGTAAAGAACCGAAAAGAAACCCTCGAAGGAGCTTATAATTCGCTCACCTAAAAAAAATCTAAAATACAATAATAAAGAAGTATATTAAAAAATCAAACGTAATTCCGAAGTCGGGCCGGTGGTCTAGGCACGCGGCCCGAACGTCGTAGTTCCTATCGTGTTGTTGGGCTCCCCGTACGCTCCACTAACTCGCCCCCCTGTTGGGCCGTATCAATGCATGAAGAGGGATGTGAGTAGATACCCCTTCGTGCTGCTTGGTCGAGGCAGTGCTCCGATCGTTTGGGCCCGGAAGTCTTGGAGGAGTGCCATGTTGCTCCGGCTTACATTGTGGTGCATGACATTCTCATGCAAGGCCTTGGAGAACGTGTTCGTCACCTGGAACGAATCGAACTTCGAGTTCAAAATGAACAACGGCGATTCGATATACCGCACCAGGTCCTGTGGGAAGAAACACACTTCCACGCCTATCCTCGAAGTGCACCGTCCGGGCAACGCATTGTCCGGACGGTGCACACCCACAACGTTGCCGAAGACGTCGTTGAAGAACCTCGCCCGGCGGGGGTCTCTGACGTGGAGGAAGAGGCAGTGTGACACTTCACCCTGACATTCCTCGAGAGCAGGCGCCGGAACCTGTCACAGTGCACCATGACCCCGAGCCCGCCGGAAGAACCCCCGGCGAGGAGGACATTCTGGGCGTTTTTCAACCCCTTCGCCATCAGGTCCTCCACGACAGCGCGGAATACCCTCGCGCCACGGTAGTGAAGACCCGTGACGGGATCGAGCATGTCGGCGTCGCCAAAAAAGGATCCCCGTCACAGGATCTCACCGCCACCCGGTTCCAATCATAGAAGAAAGTATCATTGGACCGGGGAGAAAGAACGGGATGGCCGGTGAAATTGAAAGGCTTCATGCGGCTGGAAGAACCAAGGTGGGTCTTTGCCCGTTCCGCACAGCTTTGGACGGTTGGAAAAACTTTTTTTCCTAGATTTAGCTATTCTTTGGATGTAAGAAAAATGATAGGAAAAAATAACGAAGGATTGAGAAAACATAATTTTTAAGAAACATTTTCATGTTTGCATGAGAAAGAAAGGGAGAAAAGAGAGGAAGAGATCAATTAAAAAATGATATCAAAGACAAATATATTAAAATATTTTTTTTCCCTTTCACTTTTATCATATTTTTCTTGTCATCTAAACAACAATTATTCTTCTCCCATTTTCTTATCATTTTTTCTTTTCTTTTTTTTTTCATCATTTTCTTATCTCATCCAAACATATAGTTTAGGAAAAAATATTTTTGTATTGACTTTTCAAATTTCTTTTGATATGATATACTCCCTTTGTTTTTTAAACCCTTCCACTTTTCACTTTGGGCAAAAATAAGAAAAGTGTAATTTTGGTTGACTTTCCAATTTTGCCCCTGATGTGATGGTAAAAATAAGATGTGATAATTTGGTTATTAATAAAAAAGTATGATGTGATAGGTAGGGTATGAAAAAATAAGGGTAAAAGTGGTTTTTATTAGAAAGTAGAATTGTTTTAGGGAATTCAAAAAAAACGAAAGGGGAAGAGTTTTGTGAAACGGAGGGAGTACAAAACTAGGATATAAAGAGTAGATTACTAAAATAGATATAACGTGATAGGTGTGGTAAGACTGTATCTTTGATACTATGTTACAATTTGATAATTTGTTCATCATTTTATTTTTTTATCTTCCCAATTTACCATTTGTCTTCCTCACTGTACCGATTTATTTTTTCCTCTATTGAGAGCTCGTTCTGTACGTAAGACTTATTTCTCTATTTATTAATTATTCTTATTAAAATTAGATTAGATCCAGAAAGAAATTGAAAGGACGGAGCAAAGAAAAACTCTCTCCATTCCATATTTTTCTACTCCCTTATTTTGTCCCAATTTTAATTACAAAATGAGAATTACGAGATAAAATACTACAACTTTTGAAATTATTTTATTTATAAATTTGTACATCAATAATAAATAAAAATTACTAATTAAAAAATTATGTCAAAAGTTTTATAAAGCAAGATGTAACGAATAGAGAGAGTATCTTTTAAATTTTGCAATCCACTTTTTTAATTTTCATCATTAAATATTAAAAAACGACTACATTATCTAGAAAAATAGAAATGATAAGATCCATAAAAAGAAGAACCTCTATGTGGAAGATTCTATTGAATGGACACAATATAATGTGAGAAGCAAAATAAATTGCAAACTCTAGAATAATTACTCCGACCAAAAATAATTTTCTCGTCCATTATTTTTAGTGTCAAATTGTATCCACTTTATTGATCTATTTTTTATGCCTATTTGATATAATAATATAGTTATGCTATTTCTAAATCTTTTGTTGTAGTTTTTAAATATGTAATTTTTATTTTTTAATTTCACAATATTTTTTATATAAAATGATTTTAAAAAAAAGTCAAATGTCATAACTCGCAATATATGGAAAGATTATTATTTTTAGATAGGGGGAGTTTGTATTTGTAGAAGTTAGGCTAGGGCACTGGTAATGGGCATCACGCCCGGGGCGTTATTGCTCCTTTTAACGTCAAAGGGGCAGCAAACACCGCCCCCTTGGGGCTTCATAAGGGCTTCATCCCTTGTGCTTCAAAGTTTTAACGGGCTTCAAACCTTACATTCTCTCTTTTTAAAAAAACATAAACAAACATAATTTTTTTACTCTATATTTTTTTGTTTAATGTAATATTTTTTTGTTTAACTTTTTTTAGTAATGTAAGTTTTTTTATTTTTTTAAATTTAACATACTTTTTTTATTGACTATATTTTTTATTTAATGAATTATGTCAGTTTGAAGATATTTTTATTCGCTCGAATAATTAGAAATTTCTTTGTAGTGTTGTTTTTTATGGATGTAATATTTTTTTTAATGAATGTAACTTTTTTTATGAATGTATTCTTTTATGAATGTAATATTTTTTTAATGAATGTAATTTTTTAATGCACTAGTCTCCTTTTATATAATTTAAATAATAAATTAATTAAAATTTATTAATTTAAAATTAAGAAGATGTATATTAAAAATGTATAAAATGAAGGTTTGAAGCCTCTATTTGAAGGCCCCGGGGCTTCAAACCCATTTTCACAGAGAGAGAAATTTTGAAGCCCCGGGGCTTCACGAGTATTTCCAGTGCTCTTAGTGTTTGAGTTACATTTGTTAAAAAATGGGGCCGGGGGCAGGTAGGGGGAAGCCATAATAAGAAGATGGTATATTTTCATATTTTGAATATATATATTCCGTTCATATAGAATATATGAATCAAATAGTGCATATATTCAACATATAGATTATTCAAATATAGAATGTTGAAGTAATATTTAGAAAATGTACTAATGCATTATTTTCATATTTTGAATATATATTCAAATAATTCAATTCACATATTCTTAAATATCTCTCTAGATCAATAACTCATTATAACGTAAATTTATATGGATTTCATTATTACTTGCTCTAGAGTACATTATGCGCAAGTTGGGTCACCAATAGCACATGGGCAATCAATGGAAATCGTACTACATTCAGGATTTACTATACGATAACAGAATGTGTTACATGCATCAAATAACGAAAATCCATCATCCACACCAAATCGTACTGCATTGACTTCGTGGCACAATCCATAACACTTACAATATATTTTCCGGTCACATTCACTTGCCACTCCATGCAACAATATTAATGTAAAAAGTAGCATTTTCACCAAAAGTGTCATGATCATCTTGTTAGGAATCACCATACATCTGCTCTCAAAAACAAAATTAGGCTTCATTTAGAATATATATATTCTCAATTAATCATCAATTTATAATGTTTACATAATGAAGATAAGAAAGAAATAATGCCACTCTTTAATGCTTTCTCTAAAAAAAAGATTGATTTTTTTCTTTGAGGGACCAGTCAACAAAGAAAGCAAGTGATTTTTTTTAAATGAAACAAAAAATTACAATAGATGAGTAAGTTTTAATTCTCCTTGGTTTTTTAAAAATGTAATATATATGCTTCGTAGTATAAAGAAAGCAATAATCAAGACCTTAGTTTATAATCACTCATGGTTGATGAGGAATACGGAGTATATTAAAGTATTTGGAGAGCAATTCAAAATTTCCTTATGAAAAAATAGAAATCTTGAAGTTACCAAATTTACACATATTAATAAAATCAATCTATGAATCAATATTTTGTTGATGTATACACACACACACGTATCCATATATATATATATATATATATATATATATATATATATATATATATATATATATATATAAAACACTTCAAGCATTTATATTCTTATAACTTAAAAAAATTAATTCTACATTAATATGTTTCGAATTGATGACAATATACAGTAAAACTCGTATAAATTAATAACATTAGGACCCGAGTGAGAAATACTAGACTAATATACATTAAGACTGTCTGGGAACAATATTCCTCCCTCGCTTTCAATTGACAATTAAAACTATTTGGAGTATGAAGTGTATATTTATGGTTGACTTTTTAAGTTTGCCTTTAATATTATGGGTAAAAAAGTAAGATGTGATAGATTGATTTAAAAAAGTGGGATGTGATAAGTAGGATTAAAAAAAGTAAAGGTAAATCATTTAAAAAAATTCTTCATTCTTAAATTTACAATTTTTTTAAAAATAAAACATGCAAATCTCTCTCTCTCCCTCATATTTCTTAAAAAAAGAATTCTTTAACTTCAAATTTTCTCTTATTTTTATCACAAATTCTTTCGATTCATTTGTTCCTTCGTGCGGTCTAGAGCAAAGCAAGTATGCGATGTGGCTTCACCAAACGTACGGGAATAATTCGATGTTTTTAGATACACACACCTCAGTGAATCTAGAGGACTCAGAGCCAGTTCCATTGGTTCAACCGAAACCAAGTGCATTAAAAAAAAGTGCACGTCGGAAGAGTCACAAAGCGAAGACTAAGCGAAGACTGACGAGCTGATGATCGAGACGTCACAATCCATCAAAAGTGGATATAAGAATCGTTATTGGTGTCTGTTTGGGTTGATGTCCATGAGTATCCTATCGTTAGTAAAATTTATATCTTTTTTAATATATATTGTATATATCTTCTTATACATACATACATATATACATGTGTGAGACTCAAACAAGTATGGGTTTAGTCGTTTAGATACCCACTTTGCTAAAGTGAGTATTTTCTTCCATTCTCACCTTTTTCAGCTGCACATGTGTCCTATCCATCTTCCGCTAAGTAATACGGAGTATTTAAGTGCATGTAATGGTAAGTAGCCCAAGGTAAGTACCAAACTACGACTTACCCCGATTGGAGTCCCATCATTTTTAAGTTCAATTTAATTGCTCAATAATTGACCTTTAATTTTCTCTGTCTATATTTAAGCTTAAATTTAATCTGTTCGTTAAAATACACAGTTTAATTAATAACCAATTCTTCCTTTCCAAAAAAACACAGTTTAATAGTATATATTTAAATCTTCTCAGCTTTAATTTTCTTTCTCTGTCCTTGTTTAAATTTTGTTCTTTAAATACCAACTTTAATTTCTTCTGGCAGGAACCATCGATTGGCTCGTACGGTTAAAAAGTAAAATATGTGTTTGCGAACAATAATTAATTAAAATAATAGGAAGAAGAGATTAAGAAGACAGCACCTCAATAAAATTCATGAAATAATTAATTCATGACAAATAGCTAATGACACATTATTCACATCAACTAATTAAGTAGTACATTTATTTAAGTTGATGTGGTTTCCTCCGCTCCACGGGGCGATAAATAAAAGGGCTGTTTCGCGGGGTCTATGAGATGGACATTGGTCGCTCGATCGAAAAACCAATCGACCAACGCACTCTCGAAAGACTTTGACTTTCGCCCCGAAAACATTGGCCCTTTGTAGCCCTGCGCTGTTCCGAGACTATGCATGAAGAGGGATGTGAGTAGATACCCCTTCGTGCTGCTTGGTCGAGGCAGTGCTCTGATTGTTTGGGCCCGGAAGTCTCGGAGGAGTGCCATGTCGCTCCGGCTAACATTGTGGTGCAAGACATTGTCATGCAAGGCCTTGGAGCAAGTGTTCGTCACCTGGAACGAATCGAACTCCGAGTTCAAAATGAACAACGGGGATTCGATATACCGCACCAGGTTCCGCGGGAAGAAACACGCCTCCACGCCTAACCTCGAAGTGCACCGTCCAGGCAACGCATTATCCGGACGGTGCACACCCACAACGTTGCCGAAGACGTCGTTGAAAAACCTCGCCCGGCGGGGGTCCCTGACGTGGAGAAAGAGGGAACTGTCAGTGTGACACTTCACCCTGACGTTCCTCGAGAACAGGCGCCGGAACCGGTCACAGTGCACCATGACCCCGAGCCCGCCGGAAGAACCCCCGGCGAAGAGGACATTCCGGGCGTTTTTCAACCCCTTCGCCATCAGGTCCTCCACGACAGCGCGGAACACTCTCGCGCCACGGTAGTGAAGACCCGTGACGGGATCAGGCATGTCGGCATCGCCGGAGAACGAACCCCCATCACAGGATCTCACCACCACCCGGTTCCAATCATAGAAGAAAGTATCATTGGACCGGGGAGAAATAATTGGGTGGCGGGAGAAACCAAAAGGAATCATGCGGTGGGAAGAACCAAGGTTGGTCTTCGCCCGTTCCGCACAGCTTTGGATGGCGCCATCGGGAGTGCGATGGGCGGTGGTGTTCAAGCACCAGCCGGAGCCTTGGAGGTAAACCAGCCAGTTGCTCGCCCCATGGCGGCCTTTCCCGGCTTCCCATTCATAGGCAGGCGGGCTGCCGTCAAGGCAAACAGCGCCTTGGGATACAGCGGCGGGAAGGAGGTGAAGCTCGCAGGAGACATTGCTGGTTTGTTGGAGGAGCAACAACAGCACAGCAGAAACAATAACTATGGTCGTCGGGAGTGGTGGAGAGAAAGAGGGTTTGTTGTTTGCTGTGAGAAGGGAAGCCATAACACTTTGACAGAGAGATAATAGAAAGATTTGGAAGATTTTTTGTGTGCTAGAGAGATAGATGATGCTTAGACTTGTGGATGGTGGCTTAGACTTGGGGGCGGGCCTGTATATATGCATGTATGGTACGGAGTATCATTGTAGAAGGGGGAATAGAGATGACAAATTAATTTCCAGCACATCCATCACATGGGGTGCTTGCTTCACTTCAGCAAACGAGGTATGGGCACAAACCAGCAAATGATGACATCATTTATTCTGCTTCATCATTCCATTTTGAAGAATTTAGACATGGATTTCCTCGGTTGAAAATTGGCTTTACCTAAGCCGTTTTTTTTTTTAAAAAAATATTTTGGCTTTTGCAAATCCGTTTTACAGCTTTTTTAAAACAAAAATTTTTTAAAAATTGTTTTGGCTTTTGCAAAGCCGTTTTTAAACATTTTTTAAAAAGATTAAAAAAAAACCTATTTTGGCCTTTACAAAGCCATTTTTTAGTTCCCTTTCTAAAAAGATAAAAAATAGTTTTTGACTTTTAGAAATTCATTTTTAAAAATTACTCCCTCCGTCCCTAAATAAATTTTCGTTTTCGTTTTTTCTTTGTCTTCAAATAAACTTCTCTTTTCCCTTAATGACCCCTTTAACCCCTTACTTTTTCATACCCTACCTATTACATCATACATTTTTACTAATAATCTACCTATCACATCTTACTTTTACACATCACATCAAGGGTATTTTTTGAAAGTCAACACAAAAATATCCCTCCTTTAAATCTTCAAAAAGTCAAAAAGGGAAGTTTATTTAGAGATGGAGGGAGTAGTTTTTTAGAAGAAATATTATGGGGAGGGTAACTTTTGTTACAATTTTTTTCTCTTCTCTCAATAACTTTTGTTTGTTTACGTAATTTCATTACGTATTGAATAAAATAAAATATTTTTATCACTTCTTATTTCGTAGAATTTTTGACATAATTTTTTAAATAAAATGGTTTTAAAAGTAAGATATTTCTTATCGTAAACCCCAACTTTTAATCAAATTAGGACGGAGAGAGGATAAAACAATGACTCTGTATTCCCAACATCTCAAGTATAGAAAAATTAAAATACATTGATAAAGCTGAAAACAAGGCTGCTTTTTTTTTAAAAAAAAATCAAAGTTTCAAAATTTTGAATTAGTTAAAGCCGAAATTAGCCGTCCGTTTTTTGAATTTCAATTATTCAAAATTTTCGCTTTTTTACCTTTGTTTTTGGAATTTCAAAAATTTGAATTTTTCTTTTATTTTCAAAAATGTACAACACTTGTTTCTACATCATTCATTTTATTTTCTTTTTATTTTTTACTTTTTTTTTAAAATTTCCTTACCTTTTTGTATAGTGATGAAATGGGTGAGAGATGTTTGGGTACACTTTTTATATACCCATAGCATTTTCCTTAAATTTCAAGCCAAGTGCATCAAATAAGGAAAAATTTGACTCTTTTTTTTTGTCCCACGAAATTTCTACACCCTCCCCCATGCGCCCATATGGGCACAAGAGTGATTGGACTACACACACCCGGCCCCCAAAGCATTTATTTAGCTTCATCATTTCATTTTGCGTTTGTCTCACGAAATTCCTAAGAATTTTTTGTACTAAATCGCACTAAAATTTAAGTCATTTATCTAAATAGTACTTAAATTATTTTATTTTTTAAATAGAACTTAATAATTTTTATAATGTCCAGTAATGATGAATATTTACTTGAATAATGACTAATGCACAATGACTAAAAGTGCTACATTGGAAAAAAAATACTATCTGTGATGCAATTTAAAAAAAATATTACGGGGTATGTTTTAGTGTTACTCCGTATTTAAGTAAATTTCTCAATTTATAAACTCTCCCATGCGCCCATGCTAAAAGATGGATGGAGTTTAATAATAATGAGGCGTGTTTCTTCCCTCAAAACCTGGTGCGATATATCGAATCGCCGTTCTTCATTTTGAACTCGGCGTTCGACTCATGCCAGATTAGGAACACGTTTTCGGAGGCCTTGCACGACAATGTCCTGCACCATAACGTTAGCCGGAGCGACATGGCACTCCTTCGAGACTTCCGGGGCCAAACAATCAGAGCTTTGCCACCGCCAAGTGGCACGAAGGGGTACCTAATAACATCCCTCTTCATGCACAGTCTCGGTACGGTGCAAGGCTTCAAAGTGCCAATGTTTCCGGGGCGAAAGTCAAAGTCTTTGAGAGTGTGTTGGTCGATTGGTTTTTCAATCGAACGACCAATGTCCATCTCATAGACCCCGCAAAACAGCCCTTTTATTGAACGCCCCATGGAGTTGAGGAGATGACATCAACTTAAATAAATGAATTTAATTAGTTGATTTGAATAATGTGTAATTAGCAATATGTCGTTAACTACTTAATGAATACTCCGTATTATTTAGCTGGGGGCTGTGTTCTTATTAATTAATTAATCTACTATTTCCTTAATAATTATTGTATGATTAAGTTTTTGTTCCCAAACATGTCATGGTGCTCTATATCTAATCTCTCTCGTGGGATTCACTGATACGTACGTTTCTGGTCCTTCATTCTAATCAATAGTCAAAATTTAAACAATGACGTCCATTAATTTTCTCTAAAAAAAGTACGTATTGTTTAATTGAAGTCTGTTAAATTTACTCCTAAATTTAATTGATAATGGAGCATATGGAAAAGTCTGACATAAAAAAAAGATAACTTCATTTTTTTATTACAGTCAATTAATTAGGAGTCTCTGTTCTATAATACTCCGTAGTTGTCTACTTCTGACTTTTTTTGATCAAAAGTAGTAGTAAACTTTAATCCTAAATTAAATAAATATGATACTCTGAAATATTAGATATTGATACAAAAATAGTTTTATTAGTTTTATTATATCAAATATGTTTAAAATATTAATTTATCTAATCAATATATAATATATTACCTCCGTCCTAGAGAATTTGTCCACTTTCATTTTTACACACCATCAAATGCACTTCTTTAATCTATTTTATTTTGTAATTTGTATATTAAAAAATTATAGAAATTATATATTAATAATCTATATATTAAGACAAATCAAACAAGATCACATATGCATTCAAAAAAAAAAACAAGATCACATATGTCTATATTTAGGCTTACATATTGATAGAATTTGATGAGTCAAAGTGCTTAGATGAACAGTTCCAAAAGTCAAAACTGGACGAATACTCCGGGACGTAGTGATTATATTTTACTCCGTATGTAATTATAGATAAAAAATTAAAAGTGACAGGTTGAAAAAAGTCAAGGACAAATAATTACCATTTCTTTCTTTTACCCAACTTACACTTTGATAATTTACCCCAACCATTTCTTTCTTTTAGGTTTTACCCAACTTACACATTAATGACTTAATCCAAAATAGATAAGGACACAGGGAGGGAGCAGAAAAAGGTGACATGGGAAGAAAATAGTCACATTTAGCAAAGGGGTGTCTAAATCCATATTAGGGCTTTTAATTACTTGCCCTGCCAATGCATTAATTTCCCCATCTTGCTTCATCAACTTTTTCCTCTTTCAATCCTTTCATAATTGTCCTCCCAAAAGAAAAAAAAAATCCTTGTTTGGATGCATTTTTAAGAAGGAAAGAAAATAAATACGGAGTATGTAAAATGTACTCCGTAGAAGAATAAAACGGGTACTCCATTTTGTGTGACTTCTCTCTATTGGTTTCCATTTTAGTGTATGTTGGGTAAATAAAAAAAATATTTCATTGTTCAAAAAAATTACATGTCACAGTTTACTGTTAAATAAATTTATGGTATATTTGGAAACATAGATTTGGATTTTCAAATCTGAATTTGGCTCAAATTTCACTTTTGAAAACTTAAGAATTTTAAATTTTGAATTTGAATCAAATTATTATCATTTACTCCGTAAAACAAAGCTTGATTAGAAATTCATCCACCTTTCCTTGTCATTTTAAATTTAGGATTTCAAATTTTGGAATTGAAATGCATGAATTGAAATGAATTGTTAGTTCCTAAACACTACCTTCAGTATTTTTGTTTATTTTTATATATTTTCATCAATTATTTAATTATGTACGGAGTAAATTTTTCTTGTCACCTTGCATTTTAAAGAATCTTTTATATACTTCCTTCGTCCCTAAAAATGTTTCTTGTATTAACTTTTAAATGATTTAAATAGAGTATATATATGTTGGTGTTGACTTTCCAAAATATCCTTTGATATAATGAATAAAAATTATGATGTAGTGAAGATTAATTGTGAATCGATATGATATATTAGATAGGATAAGAATATGCACAGATAAAAGTGGATTTTTATAACAAAATAGAAATATTTTTTGGAAGGGATAAAAAATGGAAGGAAAATTTTTATAGACGAAGGGAATAGTTCTTTAAATATGAAACTAATCTTTATTTTTGTATTAATCATGTGAAAAGGAAGAGATTGAGAAGGGAGAGGGAGATGGCTGTTGATCGGCAAGGATGATAGAGAGAGTTTAGAATTAGGAAAATGATTATTCTTTATTAATTGAATAATAAAATTATGAGTAATTGTTACATATATAGATGGTGAATCTAAACAATTCTAACCATACAACGTAACTAAATAAACCATAATACTAATGATCTAATATAATTATACTTCCTAATAATAATATAATAATCTAACCATAAATAATAAAACTATCTATAATAATAATAGTAATATAATAATAATAATAATAATGATAAATAAGTAAATATAGTCATGTATCATGGACAAATGGGGTACACCTTTGGTAGGGTGTATCCCTAGCATTTTTCAACTTTTTATATAGAAAATAATTTGCGTAAACCTTGCCACTATTGGAAAGATATGGTGGAGGTAAGGAAAAAATTTACAGATATGCCAAGGGAAGGAAAGTTTGAGGTCAAAAATGGATATAGGTGGTTGCTAGATAGTTCTATACTTCTATACAATTTTTCTCATTTTAACTTTTACAGCCATTGTGTTGGGCGGTGCTCCTTGGACCACACGGCAAGAAGGAGAGCAAATCCCATTCTAAGTGGGATTGCTCTTGATTTGTTTCCTTGTTCATATTTAGTGATTTGTTTCCTTGTAGGAATAGAATTCCTTTTGTGTTTTGGTCTTTATCCTCTCCTATAAATAAAGGAGAAACTCCTTGTACTTAGCAGAACAATTCAATATACAGAATATTTTCCCTCTTATTATTTTCTTCA